AGCTTGAAAACCATTACCTTTATTATAAAATATTTTTCAGGGATCATAAAGACATTCAATGTTAACCATTCTTAAGATTCAAAATTTTATTTTAAATTTTATTTTATATTAATATTTCATATCTCATTTGAGTTTGAGTTTATATAATAATTCAATTAATTAAATTATGTGCGAAATTGATTGATTATACCTAAAACCTATTAAGAATATAATAAATTTGTTAACTACATTGCTTCATTATTTAAGCAATAGTTTAACAATCAGATGGTTTTATCTCCATTCTACGGATTATATTACCATTTGAAAAGCAATAAATTTTGTATTGATACTGAAAATCTCAGAATAATTACAAATTTAATTGCAAATGTGCATCGAAAGGACACAAAGGAAATGAACAAATTGTCAACTGGCAAGGAGCACTAGCTATTCCGCTTATTAGAATTTTGGAGTAAGATACGATATTAAATTGTAATTTGATATTTGTTTTAATAGCTCAAGTGTTGTAAATCTGGATTGTAGCCACACAAATGTACTATGCACTCCTTTCAAGCATAATTGCAGTTAAATGTAGTGTGACTCTCATGCCAATTGCATACATTTCTCCCAAATACTGCAATCATTCCCATTGCTGGGCCACAGGATATATTGTTTAATATTTTATGTGCTAAGCATGTTTGAACTATTCAATCAGTCATTAAGTTTTCATTGCAAATCTGAGTTTTGTGTCAATATTATTACCACCACTTTTACTACTATTACTACCTTTACTATACTTACTCAATGAGTTGTAATGCAATATTATTTTATGATTAATAATGCGTTATTAAGAATACTATTATTTATTATATTATTTAAAGGATATTTAAGAGACTCGTGTATTTAGTTATCCATAAATGCTGATCATTTAATTATTATTATTTTTCATTTATGTACTTAAGTTGAATAATATAAATCTATTATAAGAGAAAGAGTATAAAAACTCTATTGAGGTTATTTGAATATTTTTACGAGTTTTCAGTTATTCAGAATATAATTATTCATCATAAGGGGAAAAAGTCTTAAACTAAATTAAATATTAAATCTGTTTTTTACACTCAATTATAATGAAAGAAATTATTTTCTTAATAGAGAGTATTATTTAAAAGATAAAATTTTGAATGGTAGTGAAATAAGAGTATTTTATTTTTAATCAATATTAAATTTGATTTTAACGTCACTTATGATATGACTTTATAGAAACTATTGTATTTAATAGAGAGCTTTTGAATGGTAGTAAATTGAAACAACAAACAAATTATTAACAAATAATTAAATATAAGAAATATTTCCAAGACCTCTGATGATGGGTATTGAGCAGTCTTCGAAACAACTGCTTGGTCAGATAAAAATTCAATTAATTAAAAATAAATAAAAATCTTTGTTGATGCAATTTAGTTCTATTCGAAAACTCACTAATTTTAATTAATACAGCTATTTCGAATGTTGCCAAATACTAATCATCAATGGTTTATATATAATATATCTATGTAAGGAAATATTTCTTATAAATTTAATGTTACATTTAAAAGTTTTTATATAATTTCTAATATTTCTTTCTACAGTTTTTTTCCTTTTGTTTAATTCGACTAAAAATTAACAAACTTGTCTACAAGTTTTGAATTTTTTATATAAATTGAAAAGTAAAAAGCGTAAGGAAAAGTATTAAGAAGTGGAACGAAGGACAAGGAAAGTACTTAAAGTTATTAAAAAGTGATTAAAGTGAAAAAATAATTGTTTTTAAACAATGAGGGTTCGTTAAGAATTTATTTTTGATAAAAAGAAATTTTTTTTCTCTAACAGATTAGCAGATACTTAAAAATACCGGTTTAGGTGGAGGGCCTTAATAACCTTACAAAAGTTCGATATTGAAAAGCTATTTAAACTGAATCCATCTTCTCATTAATTTAATCTGATTTACAATGTACACAAGTATATTTCACAATATTTACGTTAAATTTTAGTATTTTTATTATAATATATACTACTTCATTCTACGTATTTACGAAAGACTTTATGATAACGTAAAAGTTTAGTAAACTTACAAAGTTTTTATAATCCGAATGTAAAAGGGATTTAAGTTTTTGCATCATCATTATCTGTGAGCCAAAATAATTAAATAGTTTTCATAATAAACCATATAAGTTGACTGTAAAAAATTTCAAGCGAAATAGTACTTTTTCATAGTCAGCTTTTAGTTAAGTTTTAAACACTGCCATAAAAATTCACATAAGACTAATATTATTGGAAGAGCACCAACGTTCAATATCAGTATTTTTAACAATTAAAGAATAAATATTTAAGAATTATTTAAAAGTATTTGGTAATAATCGGATTCTTTCTCTTTAAATTGCAATTTATCGCTTATTAATTATTTGCTAACAAGCTTTAAAATTAGCTTAAAGTATTAAATTTAATTATATTTAATATTTAAGTATTAAGATCTTAGACAGAAAATCATATTATATATTTAATTTCAATAGCTGCATAGGAAGAATTTCCTTCTTACAATTAATAAACTATTAATGAAATTATTAATATCTCTGCAAATTAGTTATATAGAAAGAATAAGTTTAATATTAACAAAATTCTAACTTATGAACAGTTAATAGAAGACCTTTAAACTCAACAACCTGAATAAAACAAAAGTCGTTTCTTTGTCACATTTGTTAGCATTCAGTTTTTAAGATTTAAAAATATTGTACTATCTTGTTAAGTGATGGCATTTTAAGAAAGGCATGTTTAATCAATATTTTTGATTTCGACGCGATTTAATTGTTTTTCAAAAAGAATATTTTTTTTCCATATAACATTTTCTACACCAAAATAGCATGAACTCTCCAAAATACTGTATGCGTCATGAGAAGGACACTCCTATAAATTAACAGTATAATCCTGTATAAAATTTATTATATACCTAATTTTTTTACCAATAACATGTCTACCATGCTACCAAAAAAAAAATAAGAAATAACTCAGAAAGCCATTTTTAAAACAAATTAAATATTCAACATACCTCTTTTCAAAATAGGAAACCTCTTTATGTAACACATAATACAAAAGATGATAAGTCCATTAGACAACCAATAAAACAATAATTTTTTGACATAATTCAACTCAGTTCATCAACACTATCACCTTTAAGAGTCTTACAATCATTTAAGAGTTTCTTCAACATACAAATACCTCTCTTGTGGAATGATTCATCTTTGGCTTTAAAATATACCTCAGTTCCGGAGATGTCTTTTATATTTGACCCAAATCTATTTCTTTGTAGCACTTCTCTTTCTCTGAAGTTTGCTAACTGGTAGTAACCGCTGGGAGCCAAATCTGGCGAAAATTATGGGTGCGAAAGTAATACGAAACGTAATTCTTGCTATTTCGCCATAATAGCCAACGATTTATGACACGGATCATTGCCTAGATGAAAATGGATTTTTTCTTCTTTATATGAAACTATTGCTTTCCGATTTTTTGCTTCAAACACACGAGTTGAGTCATATAGTGACCTCTAGTAATAGGGTGGTAGTCACGGTAGGGAATTAATAAAATTCCACATAACATAAAACACGGAAGCCATGATTTTGTCAGCTGTCTGTTGCGTTTGGCGGTTAATCCTTCTTACTTTAGTTCAACAGTTCTCAGAATCATTGATGTGTTGTTATTTACTACAAACTGGTTGCAAACGCGGATCACACTTCGATAGAAATGTTTATGCAAAATGAAGCTGAGATATTCCTTTGAAATATTAAGAGCTAAGCTATCTCCTATAACTTTTCTTTACGGTTTGCCAAAACGTTTTTGTGGACTTTTTTGACATTTTACGTCGTTGAAAGCAATAATATATTTATATGAAGATAATATGAAATGCAGTTTATTCTAGTAAAACCACACCTGATTTATTTACACTCATATAAGTCTATATTGGCAAACGAATACTTGGTGAGAGTACAACTCCTGATACAACTCATGAATTTAATTTTTAAAATCCTTAACTATTAACTACTTCTTTATTCAAAAAACAAAGCTTGTGTTTCAAACATAATTCTACTAAGTAACCGAGAAACTATTTTTTAGCTACCCCACATATAAAAACCGGCATTGTCTGGTATCTGGTGTTTCAGACAATTCCATTAAGAAATTATTGGTTTAATTTTCTGAAATTGTATGTATACTTATTTGCATATTTATCTCGAACAATAGAAGATTTAAACCAATCTGGTTATAACGATTAATTAACACATTTTGTTAGATTCTATGTATATACGGTGCTTATAAAAATATATCACATTGATGATACATATACTTCTTTAGATTATCAATTTAAAGGAGTTTAAAGGAGTATTCTCGCGTAAAATGTGAACTGCAACTGTGGATTCTTGCTTTTCTTCTTCGGAATTTTGAAAAAAAAAAATGATATACAAATTGAGTTCGATAAAGAAAAGTTCATTTATGTTTCGTACTACTCTTTCGTACAATTCTCCATTTCTATAAGTACCGCATATATAATCTAACGAAATGTAAAAATTATTATAGTAGTTGCTTGTGAAAGTTCATTTATCGATTAAAATCCTTTATCGAAATTAAATACTAAATAAAATATATCTGTCATATGAATTACACATCCAACAAATTCAATTTTTAAGTAATTGATTTTATATTGATTATATGTGAAGTACATTTCCCACAATTTTTTTTTAATTCTCACAGTCCTCATAGCTGAAAGCATGTACTCGTATTTACACTCGAAATGATTACAATTTTCCTTCATTGCCATAGTACGAATTCTTGCAATTTTCCAGCACATGCGGGACTCGAAAATCAAGTGGATATTCGCTGCTTGGTGCGCTTAATTTGCACTTGGCCACTTGCACATATGTGAGCACACCGTTGCACTTTTGGTATGCAACATTAACTATTTCAAATTACAAGCAGTAAAATTTTAGCTAGAATTTCTTAATTACCTGTCAACAGTGAGTATGTGACCGTCTCGTACACGTATCCAGGAAACTGATTTATTTCCGAGCTGCTTCACCTGCAGAAGAGAGAGAGAAGAAGAAAGAACATTGAATACAAATGCAAACATGTACACTTCTAACGGTAGTATCAAAAGTAAAATGTCAGCACAGCCATGTACGGTCAGTGTGTATAGCGTGTGCAGTTGTCACTAAACATTCGTGTAGTTAGTGTGTATTCCGGTAGTAATAATGTGCTACTATCTCTGTGTAATAGTGTGCAGTGCACAGTATTATAGTGTGTTTATGAAACTAGTACAAAATAAATTAGTGAAATACACGACAGGTAGACAAACATGCCCCAAATGAACTTTTGGCTATAAAACATAGAAAAGCAGACACTGTTATTACTCCAAGCAAACAGAACAATATGCACTGATGCTCATACATAGGCACTGACATTCATACATACAAACAGAAGTATTCACCAGAGCAGCTGCAGATCAGATGCTGCTTTTGAAACAAAATTCCTAACACAAAAAGAAAGATATATGCAAAACATGTTTGAAAAAAAAAAAAGAAATAGTAATTAAATTGCTCAGCTGCAGTACCAATTACAGATGTGGTTGGTACGTAAGTCTTATTTTGCTGCTACTAAGTTAACAACATAACTGGAGTTTATACGCTATTCGCTACTCACAACTGGCCTGCACACTAATTTACTCTTTAACCAAGCAGTGGAACCGTCCAACTACATTTCGCTTTTCACTTTTATTGAAGCCAAAATAATTTGCCTTGCACTTGTTTATCACTGCATCTGCCATATGCAAAGCAGAGCGAAAATTCCATTAAATTTAAATGCACATGAACAGCGAAACAAAAACCTTATTAAAACATTTAAAATGAGCTCGAAATAAGTGCTCATATTTGTGTATAAGAAACAAATGGATCGCATAGACCAAGTGCACCAAATAGACCAATTGCCTAAATTGACTGAATGGAACGAATAGAACAAATGAACGGCATGAAGCCATCAACAGTAGACTTCATTTACACAATAATTTCTATTACTCACTAATTAGGCTGTCGTACCAATAATAAAGTCGCAATCACCACTGCACCGCACTGTGCCAATGAAGTGCATTTTAACGCATTTATAACATTTGTCGGCAACAAATGGGCTGCAAGGACTCCTATCCCTAAAACTGAGTTACTTATTAGGCAAAAATCAACAAGTGCCATCACATTAGCAGCTAACATTAGAGCTGCTATGAGGCATTTAGTGCATCCAATTGGATTTTATGGTATATTGCGAGTGTGGGCGTAGGTGTTGAGCTGCATATATGTGTGTGCAACACCACAAAACATTTTGGCATAGAAATGTAGAAACCCATCAGCTCGGTTACTCCTATTTCTAGGTGGATTGGCTTTTGTTTATGGATACAACATGAAAACGTAATTAAATATTCACATGCACATGTAAATCGCAACCTTCCATGTACATTTATAGTATCTGCTTTCCTGTTGTTTAATTTATCTCAGTTTTTATTGTCATTAGAGTGATTTGGCTTAGATCGATTGTAATTGCTAACACATTAAACTGCAATAGTTGAAATTAAACACTTGTAATTTTGGTTTTGAAATTTACATTTAGTCAAGCTACTGACAACACAAGCAGATATGCGGTGTTTAGTCTAATTACGGTTAATATCAATTGCATAGAAATGCTGCCAAAGGATTCGCAATATTGCAAAAGGAACTCAGTGTTAGAAAAGTATTAAGCCCGACTGCATTAAAATTTAAATTAAAAAGTTTTTTATTTTTAATGGGAAATTAACAGACGCTTTTGTTTGGTGCTGTCAAATTTGCTTTAAAGGTAAGGCAAGTAATCAATTACAGTAATTAATTTTAGATATTCATTATGTTAATATGTTTATAGAGGAAATAGACAAGAAATTAATAATTAATTTTCATAGTAATTAGTAGTGCTTATAATAGAGAAGCGAAATTCGAAAAGCTTTAAAAGGCTAAAATTGGACGATTGGAAAAGACAGCGTTATAGCCAAACTATTGAAACATGTCAATCTTGCTATTCCATCTGTTTTTGATAGAACCTAAAGGTATCTCCATCCTATGTTGCAAATACAAAGAGTTCTCTGACATACCTAATTAATCTGAATTAATATATTGACAGAGAGTTTTCTTAACGAGAAGTAATAGAGATTCATGGCGAATAGAGTAATCAATGATAAATGTTCCTTAACAAAATATATGAAATATGTAACTTACATGTACTTGATATTTGTTCTTTATCTGTTCATTTCCAAAACAAAAAACAGAAGAAAACTTTCATATATACTTCGCCTGCAGAAAGTGTCAATAAGACGACCGTCACTCATATTCATGACGGGGAAGTAATGTAAAATTTTCAGTAATTCAGGGAAAATTTTTTCTAACAAACTTCAAATTATGCCCATGCAATTACACTGATTTGTAACATTCACTATCATAAAGTTATGATAGTTTATTAATTACATCCATAACCTTGGTAGGAACAATTTCTAAGGTTATGATCCAAAGTAAATTTTTTATTTATACTAATACAGTAGTTTCGCTTTGACAGTATATATTTTCTATTCATAGTGGATGAGTGTATTAAGTGATTGTTCAAGAAAAAGTTCTTGACCACTAATGCTGTCACAATAGCTTTGCTTCAAAGTTTCCAAATATTATAATATTTTGAATAATATTTTGAAATATTTATTTTAAACCACGCAGGTAGCGACTGGCATTTATACAAAGAAGCAACATAAGAAAGAAAAAATCAAACATTTGGTTTGGAAAAGGGACTTCCCCTCACAGCAAAATGCATTTATACTTAAAACAAAAATTCGACTTATAGAATGCACTCTCCCATATACCTATCGGCATGGAACAAAATTTTTGTTTTGAAGGGAAATTCGAGTTGTAGAAGTTCGAGTTATGGAAGCAGAATTCGAGTTATAAAAGTTCGAGTTATGGAAGTTTGACTGTATAAGTTATAAAATGAACATGATTGCTACACTAAGCATAAAAACACACTTTCACAATCTACAGAATATTCTTTACTGTGTATAATATCACTGGCTCTATCTCACAACTACTATTATATCAAAATCAAGAAAAAACAAAGAAAAACAACAAATATAAATAATAAAATAAACAAAGTAACTAAGGTTGAATTGACCTAAAAGTTAGTAAAGAGAACATTAAATACTCAGTAGGATTGCAGAAATGTACCTGTTATAATGCCTAGTTAGTTCTCATAATTATAAAAAAAAATCGTTGTCTTTCAATAACTCGGAGAAAGTCACTGTAGCCGGCACAGGAGCAATTTCACACTTCTCCAACTTGTCAGAAACTATCTCTAACTGACTGAAACTAACTGAAACTAGCATTTAAGTTAGGTGTGAGAATTTAATTAAATATATCAAGATTTCATCGTTTGATTTTATTGTCCGTTTAACTTTTTCTTCATTTGACTTTCCTGCACGTGGTGACCTATGACTTCTTTTTAATTGTATTGCCTCGCATTTGTTTTCTTAATTACTTTTATTTACATTTCTTGTGATTTTATTGAATTGTTTTCTAAAAGCAGCTCAGCTCTACTAGAAAATGAATTATTAACTTTGGAGTCATAGTTCAAATTACTTATTCATAATATTTTTAATTAAAATTCAGTTTTAAACAAAAACTGACACAAAAGGAATCAATAGAAAACAGTCTGTGATGTCAAGCCGAGGCAGTTCGCTTAATTAATAAGAAAATATGCAAATTATTATTTCGAGAATTACTAAATTTAGGGAGTAACATCAATTTGCATTTAATTAAGACCCACTTCTATTGCTGCCACCACGGCTTCTGCTGTTGTCACTACAATAAAAACAATAGCAAGAAACGCTGGAGTAATAAGCACAATAACAGCCTGAGTTGAAAGAATTGGCTTTTCTGCTTCAGGTGGATACATGAGTAACGGCACCACAGTCCTTGTCACCTGAAAGCCTTTATGTGGCAAGTACAAGTCTTTGGAACGAAACAATTCAACCAATATCGACAACAGCAACAACAACAGCAACAACGGTAAAGTCATCAAAACTCACTCAACTGTAGTTATGATTCTTAATTTTTGCTCGGGCTTCAGCCTGAGATGTAGGAGCACTGAAATAGCAAATATGTTGGTACCTTTGTGTTCGGTACCAGTATTACCAGCATGAATTCTTGGTTGGTTGATTTCTTAGTGCTTTTTTTTTTTAATTTTTTATTTATCAGAACCAGCTGGTATGGAAGCAACAATGTTGATAACATTTAATTGACCATGACGAACAAAAAAGTTTTTGGTTATTTTTAGAATTTACACAAAATATTTCAAATATTTAAATTGCGCCAATTTTGCATTCCTTGGGAAGGGAACACATGCCTTGCAAAGAGAATGCAGCAAATTAAAATAACTTCAAGAAATAATATTTGTTTTCCTTATAATTGAAAGTAAACAGAATTTGTTTTTTATATATAACTTTCTTTACTATGAAAATATGCACATAGCAATTAACGCTCCTTTGGATAAAAAATACTTAAATATTTTGAGTTTCATTGCTCAGTTCATTAATCATAAAATTGCAATTAATATGTTCATTAAGCATTTTAATTTCAAATATATTTTCTTGTTTTTTTTCTCTGTTTTCTGAAATATGATAAATTTAGATAATTCAGAGAATTTAAGTTTAATCATAATTAGTATGAAATTAATGCCAATATACAAAGTGAAAATATTTCCACTGCTGCCTCCATTCCATTGTCGTGTTAATAACTTCACTGTTATTGCCTTTATATTGTTGTTGTTGTTATCGTTATTTTGGGTACATTTTTGGAATATGACACGCCTACATTAAAATTACTTAAATTAGAGAGTTCCATTAATAACAGCGCAAACTTTTGACTGAAATGAGTTACCTTTTCATGGTTATAATGACGATGGTAGCGTTTAATTGTTCGCTTAAGTATTTTAATTGCTAAGGAAATGCGAAACTTTATTGTTCCACCCCTTTCTAAGTACATTTTTTATATCCTTATTTAGAAATTTGTTTATTATTTTATTTCCTATTTTCAAGGAGGGTCAAAAGATATTAAATTTGTTTTAAATCAGCTTGAAATTTAATATTTAAACCTGATTAATTCCAAGTGAAGTGGTAAAAGGATATAAATCACGATTTATGCTTAGATATATGATTCTGCAAAGATATATTTACCTTAAGTCAATGAAAAAAAAAAACATTTAAATATCATTATCAGAACCGAAAATTATATTCATACCAACTCTTCGTGATTAATTATGTATAAATGAAAAGGTAAGTTGTTGTCGCATTATCAAATAAAATCAAAATTGCAAAAAGTCAGAAAGGAATACAGAATGGAATTGGTGATAAGTAAATATTTGCCAGAATACAATCACATTTATTATTAATTCGAAATTTCAAGTTGCGAAATTTATTGAAGTCAAATTTAATTAAAATTAATTTAATAAAAATCATTATTTAAAAACGCATTCCTTTTGTCATTTCAATTATTTACTGTGAGTTGTTTTTACATAAAACAGTCAGAAATGCATAAGGAAAAGATATTATTTTTAAAATAGAATAAAAAGAAGTATCTAAAAATAAATAATTATTAGTTAAAATCAGTTATCCATGATAACGAAATCACACACTTTCTGAATTTCAAACGACAAAAATGATGGAGATATATTTAGATGATAACGTATAAAACAACGTATAAAAGACACAGTTACATAAAAATGTGGGATGCTGATTTAAAAATTAGAAGAAAAAATACTCAAGGATAATGAATATTAGATTTTATATGAAAATGCCACATAATAGAAAGGATTGTAGACATTCAAAAATGAAAGCAGCGGTTCAACACCAGGCTGTAATTATATGATAAATAATAAATTCTAAATAACTATAAATACGTACAGGAATATACAAAAAATACGATCGAAATAAAAGCTCAAATCTTAAAAAACAAAACCGACTTTAAAATAACTATATGGTTGAATAATTGAAGACAGTAGGAAAGATTTTCAAATTTAAAACAGCCTCCAAGCTCAGCCATCTTCTCATAGCCCAGAACAAAGTTGGACATTCATAAAGAGGTTGAACCTAAAAGTCGAACTGAGTTCTATCATTTCACACAATTTGACTTATCTGATTCAATGAATAACTTAGAATATGGTACCTAGTCAGAGAACCTGCAGAGAGCCTTAACGTTGTTTTATCCAGAAGGGGTTCCTAGCAATAGTTGAGAGGTGCTTTTTAATTATCTGTTTGCTGCTTAAAATTTTATTTGGAATTTTATTACTGATGAAATCAAAAGGTTATTTAGATGAATGATCCGAAATCTGGTAGAATATACTCTATTTATGTTAAATACTTAAAACCTTTCTATCCTTCTATACTTAAATATGAAGCTATATATCATTTGTAAAATTACACATACTATAAAATGCGAAGAAACTTATAAAAATAATTATTAAATCAATAAAATGGTAGAGGATCATGTTTTAGATACCTTTATTATTATATGTCCTTGTTACGAAATAAACAACTATGGGCAAAAACATTTCAAAACCACATAGAATAAAATTAATACACAACTGCAATTTATTATTAATCATTAAAGTTACTCATACGCTCCGTTGCACCTTTAATATTGGCTGCAATGAAATATTATTTTGTTGAAACATTTATGAGAAATTTATACAGTATGAGAAATATATAATATATTTATTAATATATTCATTTATTATTAATATCTAAAATACAATTTAAATGGCAATACAATTTTAATATTCTAAGCAAATGTGTTTTTAAACTGAGATCAATATGTAGCATTCCAGGTTCTTAATATATAAATGCTTAACACCTCAGAAAATACGATTTGCAGCACATAAATTTACAAAATATTAAGAAAGGACCTGAAGCCAAAGAAAGGTCACACCTATTCGCACAAATATTTACGCAATAAAATTTAACGTGCTGCCTATTTAAAAGTAATTATAGCTACGAGCACGCACCCGAAATATAACAGAAATATGGCAGTAATGTGAAGAGCAATGTGAAGAGCAAAGTGAAATAAAACAAGATAAATAAAACAAAAGGACTGAGACAAAAGCGACTCAGAAAAGTCAAAATAGGTGGATAGGCGGTTCGGCGGGCAGGCGGTTAGGCGGGCAACACATTTTCTTCACTTTTCGTTTTTATTTTGGGTTATTTGTGTAAAAATATGTGGCTACGTGTGTAAACTAAAGAAAAAGGTATACGAAATTATGTATGAATTTATTAGGAGGCCACAATGGTCCCGACAACTCACCCGACAAGGCAAATATGCGTGCGTGCCAATTTGTGTGGTAACATTTGTTGTTGCATAACCATCCAAGTAGGGTTCCACAAACGCTGATGTCAGTGCTGCTGTTGCGGAGATCACGGACGCAGCCGTATCCGAAGAGCTGCCACTGCTCGTATACTGTGCTGGCAAGTCAAACTTAGAAATTATGTCCGCATTAGTGGTGCCTGCAAAGAGAAGAAAAATTGAATTGAAATTGAAATTTAAAGAAAAAACTGGAATAAAAAAATGATTTAAATGGTTTTTTGGTGAAAGCATTTCGTTTCAATTTGTAGGAAAAGAAATGTTTTAAAATAAAAGCCGAAAAACTTGGTTTTTCTTTTTTTAATTATGCGACTTGAAATGAAATCATCAGCGGATTTCTTACTGAGCTGTCAATTACATGCACACGCCCATAAAACCAGCAGAAGAACAAGCAGCGAAACCGCACTGAAACTCACCCACTCACACAAATGTAAACATGTAAACTAAACACACACAATGACTTTACACAAAATGGGGGACAACACAATTGCATTGAGTGAAAATTAATTTCTTTTGAAAAGTTTGTTTTACAAAAAAAACAAGTAATTTCAGAGAGCTACACTTTAAACTTCAATAAGTTAGGTTAGGTACATGAAATCTTAATGAGAATATTGATCTTAAAATTTAAGCAATGTCATCAAATGGGGCCTTATAACCAGAATTAGAACCGTTTAGAGACTACTATCCTGTCTATCCTACTATCCTACTCCTGTCATTTTGCTGATAGAAAAGATGAACTGTCAGCCTTTTACTGTTCAGTTTTTGCCAGAAAACTTTTATATACTTCAGCGTCTGTCTTTCCCAAATATCTGCTCAATATTAAGAAAGCAAGAATTGAAGGTGTAAGGTGACCCAAGCAGAAAAAGGTCTCTTTCAATCAAAAATCGATAAAAAAGATACTTTCAGTCAAAAGTATCTTTCCAATACTGTGTATATAGAAATTTGCAATTACCACTTTATTAAAAAGACCACATAAACTTCTGATGAAAAGTAAGTCCACTTTAAACCACTTGCTCGCTTTTAAAGTTGTGGTATTGTAATAGTCCAACATAAAGCTTTTATGTGACTGGCACCTTTTTGCCGGATAAACTGCTCTTTTGGTATTTTGCAACTATCATTTACTTATAGGTTAAGTAAAAGCCATATAAAAGAAGGCTTTTCATGAAAATGGTACCTGTATTTCAGCCTTCTAAAAGGATCTCATTTCTTTCCGTATGAAACGATTTACTTACTTTTTTTTAGATATATGTATTTGTTAACGATAATATTTTGTGGAAATAGTAGTTATTCAAAAACGTTTAAACGAATACATTAAAAAGAATAGAGGTCATTATCTAAAACACTAGTTTAACATACCTTTACACCACACAAATCTGTATAATAAGTCAGTAAGGAACTATTTTAATTGTACTTAGATACGAGGGATATAACATCGTCGTGAGTTGAGACTTACTGAGCTTTTAGATGTAGGCCCACTCCGATAGTGTCCAGAAGTTTTCAGGCAAGCTTATTGGCTTTTTATTGAATTTTAATTTAATAACCTTTCCTATTTAGTGTCTAAAAACTAGTTTGATACTCTAACAAAGCAAAGAGAGATAAAGAGATTTTTGAAAAAGAATTATAAGTTGATCACTCTTTACTAAAAACGGATATTGATAGAATTAATGAGTAGATTTTTCTTTCTCCTCAAACCAATAATAATGACGTCTGCTATTCCATAACATACACTTCAATGCAGTTTGTACGTACCACTAAATAACTTTTGTATACAAGACATCACCGTTTTTGCTGCAAATTTGTTTTTGTTTTGCGAATATTTTATGCATATAATATACATAAGTTCTGACAACAACCATGTGGCTATTTTTCCGAACTACGGAAATTTTTAAAATGTATTTATATTTAAAATGTATATAAATATATTTATATAAATGTGACTATATATCAATATAACTATATATCATATATTTTGCATATAAATGCAAAAATTCAAAACAAAAAAATATAAATAAGAAAAATCGCAACCTACAACTGTAGCAATGCCAATATCAGTAGCAAAATAATTTTTATTAAAGAATAAAAATACCATAATTTTTAAAAAACCTCTGTGCAAACATCTTTTATATTAAAAAAAATTTAAAAAAGCAAAAACTAAACGGACAGTAATAAATTATTAAACAGTGTAAATTTCGGATAGAGTCTAAAAAGACTCTTATCCAGACAAATTGAAGCTATTGATAAAGCAAACAATAACTCTTCGTTCAAGGATTCTGATCCCATTCGATTCAACAAAATTTTACTTAATGAACAGAAAACAAAAAGTTGTAATAAGTGGCCTCAAAAGATTTTATTAATGTGAGTTTTTTTAAGATACTATAGCATTAATTGCAATATAATTTAGTTACTATATTAAGTTTGATTGACTTGAAGTCAATTCTGACGAAAGATTATGAAGTTTCACAGCAAATTAATAAAATTTCAAGTTCAAATATATGAGTCAAGTACGGCCTTCGATCAGTTGGCTAATGAAAGCTGACTCTTAGATTCAAATTTGGCAGGGTACGAGTTCAACCCTTGGTACTTGCAGTCCTATAAACATTATTTACGTATAATTAAATATAAGTAATAATTGCAAGACCAGTGATGATGGGTATTTGGCAATATTTGAAATAACTGCATGGTCAGTCAAACATTTAGTTAATTAATAAATAATAAAATAAAATAAAAATAATTAGTTTTTATAGTATTTTGCATAAATTTCCGGAGAAATCAGTAGCATAGTGTAGTGTAAGTCGTCCAAAAACTCTTACTTAAATTGTATTAATTTTATGCACTAATATTAGAACCCACCTAAGTATTACCATAACATGAGCTTAAATGGCTTAAAATAAATCTTAATTACCAAAGATTTAAGTAGAGCATTTCCTAAGCTCTTCTTGCCAATAATTTTTAATTTTATGTTTATTTTACGTAAATATAATTTTACAATTTCGACGTAATCGTGAAGTGCGTATTATTATTTTTCTTTATTATATGTTTTTTTTTGTACAATTTTTTTATTTTCATAAGAATTTTTCCTTTCGCTCTGGGTACTTTCCACTCTGTTGATACTTTAAGTCAATATAAATTTCGTTAACGCATACGTAAACATCAATGCCTGTGCCATAAACTTTTCATTACAAAACAATTTTGGAAAATCATTACGGAAATTGTTTGTTAACTGCCAATTCAGCAAATCTCATACGCGTTTTATGCTGGAAAGTCATCATTAGCAGCTAAAATTCAAACAGCAGCAGCCGTTAAAATATCACATAATTTCCCAACAAAAGCAGCACTGAAAACGTCAGGATATCAGGATAACACACATAAATACGTTTAATTTTAATGAACCTTCATTTTATGAGTACAGTAGCTTAAATAAATTAATTTATTTACAAAAATACATACATAGGTATATATCAATATGAGTTTAAGTATCGGCTTTATAAGATTTAAATGTGTATATACGAATAAAATATATCCATATGGACTTAAGCCCAATACTCCAGCACCATGACAAATTCATCATTAAAATAATTCTCTTTTCTTATTTTTGTGGCAAATAAACCCAAGTATGTTAATTAATTTTTATAATTAAAATGTTTTCTTTTATATTTTTAATTGTTATTTGTATTTTATTTTTATTTTTTATTTTTTTGTTTTTTGGTAAACGGAATTATTGTATATAACATCCGGTAAAGTTGGTTGCTATCATCTATCATCCAAAAGTTTCTTTAAAAATTTTTATTTTTTGTCAGTTTTTGGTGAGATTATTTGCGCCTAAAGTGTCAAATGCAGAGTGATGTGAAATGAACTGAACTGCATTCGCGGAACAACAAAATAAGTTAAATTAAAAATATAAAATTTAATTATATTTAGAATTAAATTTTATATATTTTTTATATATTTTATATATATTTAGAATAAAAACCCATGAAGAATATCTTACTGATATTGAATAAAACCGGTATCAACATACGATTGTGATATATACCTTTTGAGAAAGGTTTTAATTCTCTGGAAAACAATTCTTAGACAATTAATTATACTAATGCCTTTACATATAAGTACATTACGTACAAGACACAAGGAAAAATTATATATATACCATAAAAATAATTAAATTAAAAGATTGGAAAGATCAAAAAACAGAAAGATTACGCTGAAACGTACTATATACTATAGTCAATGATTCGAAATTTTTGAAGTTTCTACATATACACTTTTTAATACTCTACAGCATCCTAAAATATTTAAAGAATTTAGTATTTTATTGTTCTACAATGTAATTATTTCAAGTGCTGAGGTGAAACCTTGCGTACCTGGAAGCTAGAACCAAACTTCCAGGCAGAAATATTCACCGACTATGACATCAAGGAGTGCATTGGTACGCGATCTGAAAGTTACAAATCTTGTTCGAAATGAAATCGTTTTCTATCCTATAACAGACTTTGATTTAAAGTGGTAACCAAGGCTCCATACATACATAAATACATTCATGTATAATAATTTTAGATAAATACATTTAAGAAGACTTAGATTAGATTTGTATATAGTACAAATTGAGTAGCATGCTAGAACCCAAAAAATTGGTTTCCTCTTGAAACCACTTGAATTTCTAAAAAACCCTTCTAGGGAAAGGCAGTGTAACCGTTTGTCTTAACCTCATTCATATAAGCTTCAAGTGCAGTAGATGGATCGTTTTTTTTAGTAGAAAAGAAATATTTAAGCATAGCTTCACTATATAAGTACCCGAAATAATAAAACAAAAAACTTGAAAAAAATTTTTATATTAATTATTATTAACGTTAATAATTATTAATGTTAATTTTTTTTTGTGGAAAGTGCTGCATTTTCTTATGAAAAGCAACTATTTGAAAGTTAGAAGGGTTCGAATAGAAATGAAAAACACTCTTATTCATCGCTTCTAATTTCACAGGCACGACAATTATATTGACAATTATATATGAACTATAAACTAATTTAAAAAAAAAAAATTTGAATATTTCCTAAGACCACTGATGATGAGAACTTCGCAATACAGCGTTATATGGCCACATAAACTTCAATAAATTTAATAAAATATTTGTTCGTGTCTTTTCATTTCTATTCGAATGCTTCTAAAATTTATTAAGCCGTCTTGACATCCTTGAATGCTATAAGCCATCGAAATTATCTCAAACCTCCACACCTCATCTAAAAATGACTTTTATAGCCACAATTAATTCGCTTCGGGAACAAAAAGAAACACACCAAACCATATCAGCTGGGTAAGATTCTTGTTCCTTGTTCACATTTGTCTTCCTTGTTTACGTTCTCCATCACATTTGTTGAGTTTTTTTTATAAAAACTCCTGTAACATGTGATGTATTCAGTATATTTCTTAAATTATGAATTGGGAGTATTTTTGACATTGATAGCATTTAAAGGTGTGTTCCATAATCATTTTTTTTTCTAATTTTCAGAAAAATCTTATCTCAAGCCTCTTATTGTAATTTGCTAAAAATCATTATCTTTCATTAAGTAGTTATGATTAGCTTCAAACTCCCATCTAAGTTAATTAAATAGGAATGATTTAAAATTAATACTGAGATTAAAGTTTCACTAGATCATGTTACGTTATATTAAAACAACAATATTACTTAATTAATATATTAGTAATTATTGCAACTTGTTTGATGTAGTAATTTGACTTTCTTTCATACTTCTATACTTTTATTTTATATTGATATTCTCTTGTATAAGCATTTTTCGTTTTTTTCTATAATTTTTTTTAATATTATTATTGCTTATGAAGTTCGATTAAATAATAGTTAAGTTATATTGTATATAATAAGCGATAATTAACATGCACTCTCCATTGTCATTGCACATAATAATAATTTCGAATAATATTTATTTATTATTTTCGTCCATTATTTGGGGTTCACTTTCTCGTTAAACTGAAATTGCTTTTGAGTACTCCAAAATATTCACTACACAATTTTAAATGAAATTCGTTCAACAAATCCA